ACTTCTGAGTTAGAGGAGAGAATGTTACCAACTGAGCCACTTCCCTGTCCATCATCACTTTCCAGTGAATATATCGGTGAGATTCACTGCTAACAGGAATAGCTAACAGGAAGAAGCTCCACTCATAGTCTCATCCTCAAAAACGGAGGGGTCCTAGCAGATCAGTCCAAAAAACAAGGCTGCAGTATTTGCCACCATCTTCAGCTAGAAATCCCAGGTGGCCAACTCATCTCAGTCTCCTCTCAAGGTCCCCAGCATGATAAATACCAGTCTTCAGCTGATTCAATTCACTCCACATGATATCAAGAAAAGGGTAAAGCCTCTAGATGCTGCAAAGTATATAGCTCTGATAATATCTTAGCAATAGTACTGAAGATTGCTTTAGAATTAATCACAATACTAGTCAAGCTGTTTCAGTGCAGTTACAACACTGGCATCTACCTGTGAACGTAGAAATTTAGCCATCCATATGCTGTCCTCAAAAAACAGGGCATATCTAATCCAAACAATTACTGTCCCATCAATCTCCTGTCGATCATAAGCAAAGTGATGGAAGGTGTCATTACAGCAATAACCTCCTCACTGATGCTCAGTTTGGGTTCTGCAACAGCCACTCAGCTCTTGACCTCATTGCTGCCTTGATACAAACATGGACAAAACAAACTGAATTGCAGAGGTGAAGTGACTGCTCTTAACATCAAGGCCACATTTGACTGAGTGTAACATCAAGGAGCACTGGCAAAATTGACGTTGATGGGAATCAGGAGGAAAACTCTTCATTGGTTGGAATCATATCAAGCACAAAGAAAAGCTATTGTGTTTGTTGGAGGCCATTCATCTCAAACACATGTTCGTTAAATAGCGTTTTGAGGCCAACAATCTTTAACTGTTTCATTCAATGACCATCTCTCCATCATAAAGGTTAGAGTGGGAATACTGACTGATGATTGCACACAGTTTAGTTCCCCTTGCAACTCCTCAGATATTGAAGCAATCCGCACCCGAAGGAAACAAGACCTTTACAACATTACATTTTGGACACGTGGCAAGTAACATTTGGGCCACATAGTCTGAGAATTTGGGCCAGACCATTCAGGAGAGAAGTTAAGAAGTATTTCTATCCACAAAGTGGGGTAGATGTTTAGAACTCCCTTGCGTAAATGGCAGTGAATGCTGGATCAGTTGTTAATTATAAATCTGAGATAGATAAATGTTTGTTAAGCAATGCTATTAAGGGATATGGGCCAAAGACAGGCATATGGAGTTAGGCCACAGATCAGCCATGGTCTTGCTGAATGGTGGAACAGGCTGAAGGGTCTGGATAGCCTTCTTCTCTTCCTATGTTCCTAGAAGTGCCTAACTATCTTCTCTTGCCATTAAACTGCCATTTAATTGCATTACCATCAATGAATTCCCTCACTGTCAACTTCTGTGGGATCATCATTAACCAGAAATTGGATCAGCCATATAAATATGTGGCTACAAGAGCAGGTCAAATACTGGGAACTTTGAATCAAGTAATTCATTTCCTGACTCTCCAAAGTCTGCCCAGCATCTGCATGCATAATTAAGACAAGGGTGTGATGGAACACTCGATGAGTGTGGCTGCAATGTCACTAGAAATTTGACACTATCCAGAAACAAGCAGCCCACTTAATCAGCACCATGTCCACCAATTTAAACATTCACTCTCTCCATCACTGATGCACAGGGGTAGTAATGTGTACTGTATACAAAATCTCTCTAAGGGTCTTTTGAAATGATCTTCCAGTGCCAGAACCTCTCGCACCTAGAAGGACAAGGGCAGCAGATCCACAGAAACACGATAATTTTCAATCTCCCCTCCAATCCGCACACCATCCTAACTTGAACTATATTGCCAATTGCTGTTCCTTTACAGTCGCTGGGTCAAAATCCTGGAATGCTCTTCCTACCCTGTGAGTTTACCTGCACCACACTGACTGCAGCAGTGTCATACAGTCATAGAATCATAGTGTTGTACAGCACAGAAACAGGCTCTCTGGTCCAATTTGTCCATGCCAACCAGATATCATAAATTTGCCAGCATTTGGCCCATATCTCTCTAAACCCTTCCTATTCATGTATCCATTCAAATACCTTTTAAATGCTGTAATTGTACCAGCCTCCACACCTCCTCTGGCAACTCATTCCATACTTGCACCACCCTCTGCATGAAAACGTTGCCCCTTAGGTCCCTTTTATCGCTTTCCTCTCTCACCTTCAAACTGTGCCCTCTACTTTTGGACTCCCCTAACCTGGGAAAAAGACCTCGGCTATTCACCCTATTCATGCCCCTCATGATTTTATAAACCTATATAAGGTCAACCCCCAACGTCCACCGCTCCAGGGAAAATAGCCCCAGTCTATTCAGTCTCTCCCTATAGCTCAACCTCTCTAACTCCAGCAACATCCTTGTAAATCTATTCTTTACTCTTTCAAGTTTAACTACATCCTTCCTATAGCAGAGAGTCCGGAACTGAATGCAATATTCCAAAAGTGGGTCACAAACACCTTCTCAAGGACAATTGGACAAATACAGACCTGCTTTTTTTGTGGAAAACTAGGAAACTGAAGCCAGCTATAGCAAGCCTGTTGCTGCCCCAGTTGAATACGAGAGTGGGAGTCGAATCTGGGAACTTCTTCAGCTGGATATGCACATAAAAATGCCCTTACCAGCCAAATATGGAACACCATGCAGCACAGCCATTGTAGTGTAACAGGTTCTCATGAAGTCAATTTTTGCAAGTCTTGTCTCCTACATAACTTACAATCAGACCAGAGATTAAAGAAGTATGGACAACTTTTGGTGTGGATCTAATTAAAATGAAAAAAAAATCATATAACACATCCATCTGTCCTTTTAGTTAACAAGACTGGAGTAACTCACCGTGAACTGAAATACACAAAGAATTTGTTAAAAAATGTGTTTACAGGTGTTAGTTTGCTAACTCCCAACAGATCTAGTATGTGTGAAAAGTGCCTCACACATTCCTGAAAAGTAATGCAAAAACTGAACAAATAATTAGTGTGGTAATTTGCAGTAAATTTGGATTCTTTCATTTGTTAAAAAGGACCTGAGCAGAATTTGTTTTAAAATAAAATGTGTCATTTGAACAGCACATGTGCTGCAGACCTGGTAAGCAAAGCAAAGCAGAAGATAACAACGCATTTTAATTTTCTATCTGTTAGGAACTTTGCTTCAAGTTTTGCAAGTTAGCTAATCAAAAGACTTTTCTGGATAAATGATATTTCTGTTCAAGCAAAGTTTACTATTGAGTTTCCTTACTCTGCCACCTACAGAGCTTTTGTCACAGCACTGAAATGCTCATCTCATTTTCCCTGGTTCACTGTTAATTCAGCTCTTAATGTATAAGGATTTTCACTTACACATTGATTTCTTTACTCAATACACATTTTATATGGTCCACTTGTACTGTAGACTGATCTCTCCATATACTTCCCTCTGTAATAGACTGATCTGTCCCTAGAGCGCTCCTAGTGCCACGAACTCATTTAATTCCTCCTTCACAATGTTCGTTCCATCCACAAGGTTCACCGCTCCTCATGCCATGGACATTTCTGTGCATATAAACTCCCAGCAGCTGCAGATTGCTTCATCTGTACTCTCCCCATGCTGCAAACTGCTCTGTACATGGGAATTCTTGTCTGTTTTGTGAACTGCTTGATTCCAACAAATGCATGGGGAAATCAGGTAAATTAATTAGCCTATGACATGGAGTCAATATGGATTACTCTTCTCAATCCATATTTTCCCCTCTTCACAGAGCATTCTCTTTATATACCGACACCTACATCTTCAGTGAAACAATGTTCAATCCACTGCCATATTGTTATCTCAGATTCTCTAGCATCTGCCATTCCCACTATCTGTGATTCAATCCTCTGTCCTTGCATTATTACTGTAGTCATACATAATCAGTTGTGTTCAGAAACAATATAAGACCATTGAGCAAGATTTGAAAACTAGCAGGATGTAAATGAGAAAGGCAAGTTACCCAAACACTCCTGTCTGAGAATTAGCAGGATTGTACGATTCAGTGGCACAAACATGTAAAGAATGTGCAACATTGTGTTTTGAAACAGCAGTCTCCAATCCACCATTAAACCATTTTAAATGAGTTAGCACCTCTGTTAGGAGTGACACTGGAAGTTACTCTGAATGCTCAATGTTAGTTTCAACCGTTATCCACATACGCATTTTCCCAGTGATAGAATGGATAAAATTCAGAAGCAAGAAACCTGAGTTTCCAAGCTCAGAATACTGACTCTAACTACTATCACTGTATTGAAGATATCACAATTTTTTGACATTACTTCAAAACATATTTTTTTAAAATGATCCAAACATAAAACTTAAGCTGTAGTCATAATATTTGGGACTTGCATCTTATAATAAGGGCTAGAGATGCTGAATGATTCAATAATGCTTGATTTGGAATTAGAATTCTAAAACATGTGGCCTTCAAAATTCTTGTCTTCAATTTTAAATTCTTGTATGGTCTTTTTCTATTCTATCGGAAAAAACTCTTCCAGCACATACGTCTCCAAACACATTCCCTACTTTGCTGCTATCAGATCTTTCCTAATTCATTTTTCTAACTGTTCCACTGTGAACAGCTATTATTCAAGTCACTATCTCCCTATCCTCTGGAACTCGTGGCCTAAATGCCCTCTTGTCACCTTCTCGAGCCTCTTCCCCAGCTATCTTACTTTCATCTCAGCCCTTGCATCCACAGATTCTACTGTTTTCTACCATCTGTAAAACACTCTTGAAATACCTTTCTGTACATAATGAGGTCATTGATATTAATGGCATTTATATCCACTATTAAGTGATTTGAAAGAGCTACATCCAGCTCAGGAAATCTTCATCCATAGAAGATACATATTTATACCTTAAGTGAAGACCTCACTGCAACAAAGATGGAGGGGACTAGGAAAGGCAGCGAGCAACTGACCTGGATTTGCTGTTGGAGAAGGTTGATTTTGTGTTGTTGCTGTAATAATTGTTGCTGTTGTCTTGCGATCTGGAGAAGAGGAAAAATACATTTTAAAAAAATACACAAAATAAATCAAATTGTAACTTTTTTGCCGTTTCAAATAGGCTGCCAACAAGGAGGAAACAAGTTGTTTTTATTGCGCCCATCCATCTAACTACATTCCTGCTTCATTGAGCATGACAACCCAGTTTTAAGTGTCATTTAATTTTCATTTTCAAATATAATTACAAAGTGTTCACTGTAAGATATCACTCGTCTGCAAATGTGTCAAGATTAATTTGAGCTAGCTTATTCACAAGTGTCAACAGTTAATTACTGTGTCGTGTCTGCATATCTAAATGACATCCTAACTTCTTATTTTGTACGTATCCTTGTATCTTATTTCCCATTATAAGCGAGTGTATACGCTTGCATGTGGGCAAATATTTGGACATGGAAAGCTTGGTGATCTGAGTCTGATTAAAACAAGCGCTACATACGAGCTCTATTATACACTGCTCTCTATAATAATATGGTGGGACTGTCAATATGATTTCACTAATAAGCCCCATTTAGGAAGGCATTCTTTACTCTGGAGTGACTGTGGAGTGGGTACAATTGTGCTTTAAAGAACCGTGATGTGACGAGGGATGCCTGACTTTAGATTACAGGGACAAACTATGGAGCACAGCTGCAATCAGCTTGTGATTGTAATTACTAATTCCAATTATTAATAAGGATCATTTTTTGGCTGCGACCTTACTCGAGAAAAAACTGTTCTCTAATTTTACGGTGCCATTACGGCAATTTTCCTCCAAGGGTTAAGATCATAAGACAGGTTTAGCTAAAGAATGCACACCCTGCCCCACACCAAAATATTCCATTTTATTTTTCTCAATCCTACCATTTTTTCATTAGCATTGCAAGCTGGCTGTTTAGCAAGTCTAGTTGTCCTAGCCTCAAACACATTTCCTCACCACTATTCCCATTACTGGCCACCTTTGTATAAAGACTTACCGTTTTGTGTGAATTCTAAACTTTCCTTCCAGAATGTTCAATTTCTATGCTCTCTTGTCCTATTGCCTTACCTATCTGAAAGAATTGATATAACTTTACTTCTTATGCGCTGTAAGGATTATTGCTGCAAGTTCCTATCTGAGATATCTCTTTTAAGTGCATAGAGACTTAACCCATGCCATTTTCCATATCCTTGAAGTAACCTCATTGCTGTCCTCTGCACTGCCCCATGAAGCTGGAATGTCACAGTGACCAGAACTCATGGCAGCTGCTCTGTTCAGTAGAAAAATAACATGAAGTGAAGAAAAATTATATTCCTCTGTTTCTGAGTGTATATGCATTATGAGGCAGGAAGATATGCAGCACAGTATTATTCAATGCTCATAAGCTCCAAAAGAAAAGACTGGAAAAGCTCACCTTTTTATAGTGACCATCACAAACTCAGGACATCTCAAAATACATTGTAGCCAATAAAGTAGATTTTCAAACTTCGACACGATTGAAATGTGGGGAATGCAGTTGCCAATTTATGCACAGCAAGCTTCCACAAGCAGCAATGTGTTAATAAGCAAATGATTTTGTGATTTTAATTGAGCAATACCTATTGGTCAGGAGACTTAGAATATCCTTGGCCTACTTAGTGAGGACACAATGCAATCAGTAAAGGGCAAAGGGCACCTTGGTTTAATGAATCATCTGAAGATGGCACAGTCAATAGTGTCGCACTCCTTTAGTAGTGCATTGAAGTGTCAGTCTGGAAGTTTTTCCTCAAGCCTCTGGAGTGAATCTTGAGTTCACACCTTTCTGACTCAGGTCAGTGTTCTACCAACGGAGCCACAGCTGACAGCAAGTCATAATATTTTTATAAATGCAACATCTTTAACTAAATTGTGATTTTTTTTGGTAATTTTTGTTAAAAATCCTCCAGTGTTTCTGTGCCCTAATATTTTTTGATTTAATGAGCATTTCATGAGAACCTTGGATTAGTTCTGCAAGTTACCGCTGCGTCCTTAGCCCTCCCTTTACCATCTCTACACCGGATCATCTTCAAAACTTTTCATACCTTTATCTTCAAGCTTTTGATTCCTACCACCACCAGCTTCCCAGTCTCTTGCTCATCTTCTCTACATTTCCTAGACCCATCTCCTTGCACTTTTCCTTAAGCACCGCAATCCTAGTTTTACCATCAGCCTCCCACTTTCTGAATTTTTCCCTCAATGCTCCAAACAGTGATTACTTTTCTTGCTTAATCTCCCTGGGGTTATTCATGCTAAACAGAATCATAGAAGTGTTACACAGTACAGAGAAATGCCACGCTGTCCATTTCGTCTGCACTGCCTCTCTAAATAAGTGTTATCATGCTTAGTGCCATTCCGTCAGACTTCTGGGCTCTGATACTTTTTTCTTTGACCAGTCATTCGATGCTATAAATTCAACACAACTCTTTCTCAGTCTCGAAACCCATTCACCATCTCAGACTGTCAGTTCCAACCTCTCATATTCAGTTCAAAAAGACAGGGTAGAATTTATGACTTCTCTCATGACGTGTTTAGTGAAGGAAGTACAATTAAATTGGAAGGTCTGTGCTCAGACTTGCTGCTCCGTGCCACAGGTCTTAAGTGGGCAGTGGGAAGCTCTCAATACCATTGCTGGTTTTAATCCAGTGGCGGGCAGGTCTGTTGATGTTTAGACTTTACGATGGGTAAAAACTGTATGGCTTCCTTGTGATCTCCTAGGGGTATCTCTTCTCGGTAGGACTTCTGAGAACCACCCCACTGCCCTTGCTGCCACACTCCAACACCCCTATCCCAGCAACCCCAGCCCTGCAAAACCCTCCTTACCATTACTTAACATGGCCAGAGTTGTTCCTCAATGCTGTGCCTCTGGTAGGTGCTCTGGCAGCACATTCTGCCTTCCCAGTGGCTTTCAAAAAAGGCCAGCAGCTCTTGCTAGCTGAGTTTTCCACCCCTGGAGTTTTTAATGCTGTCTTTAATCTCCTGGTGACTACTTAAGTGTCTCAGTGGTTCCAACCTTCCCAAAGGAGATAACACCAGGTCACTTGCCAATTTTCCAGCCAGCAGGCTTGCCCAATGCTACCACAAAATCTAATCCACAAGGTGATGTAGCAGCACTGACTCTGAATGAAAAGTTTGTCAGGATGTCTCAATCTAGAGATGTTGTAAGACTACATTCCAGTGCAGTATGCTATGCTGTCTGAGGATCCAGTATTCAAATGCCATTGTTAAACTGCATACTCTCTCAGGTGGACAGAAGAGATATCATGAAACTACTGGATGAAGAACAAGAGAATTCTTCATGGCACCTGTGCCATTATTTAATCTTCAAACAGCACTACTGAAACACACTGTCTAGAAATGGTTTCAGAGATAGTAGGAACTGCAGATGCTGGAGAATCTGAGATAACAAGGTGTAGAGCTGGATGAACACAGCAGGCCAAGCAGCATCAGAGGAGCAGGAAAGCTGACATTTCGGGCCTAGACCCTTCTTCAGAAGAAGGGTC